GCAGAACTTGGGCAAGCAGCGACCCCATTTTATTTCCAAGAAAAAACAAACCAAAATGCTCAAGGTTATTATGGTTCTTCTTTAGTTTTCTTCTATTATTTAAAAATTGATCATAGCCATTTCCTATATGTTAAGCTGTATTTTTCACCATGAATAATTCAACTTATGGAATATGCAATGAATGCATTTATGTTTATTCCTCATTATGCACATGCACAGAAAACCAGAAATAAAAATTTAAGGGGTTCATTATATTGAGTAAAATACTTCACTTATTTCTTCAGTTTGACACAATGTGGTTATATGATGAATCACAATGCTCTTTTTCCAAATTATTGCACCACAACATTCAATCACCTCAAGCAGAAAGAGAAAGTTTAACCAAATGCAAATATGTGGAAATTGCTTTCTACCAAGAGGGATAAGACTATTCACCCTTCCCTTCACAAAGTAACAGAGAGATTTTAGTGATCAAAAGTAGCCACAAGTTCAGCCTTACACTTCTGCTGAAAGATAGCTTGGCCAAACAATCAAACGAAAATGCTGCACCCAAGTGTCTGTCTATGAAGTGCTCAAACAGGAGGCAGGAATCTGTTTTACAGCTATACCCAGGCAATTAAGTTATGTATTTTTCCTTGTAAGTAAAACTGATTCAAGTATGCTAGGAACCACATAATTCTTTTGGTGTAAATATATCTTTTAGCAGCATATGATGGGATTTGGCAATATTCTTGTAGGTGAAAGCACTTGATACTGCAGATGTCTAAAAATACCATTTGTTTTTGCAATGAATAAGAAGCATAGGATTTGTCATCATGATAATAATGAGATTTTGTCTAAAAGTAACAATCCCAATGAAATCATGGCACCAGAATTCAAAAATGTGGTTTCAACAACTGTGAAACATATCACAAAAACTACTTACAGCGACTTCTTCAGTCTGCCTCAGAAGTGCTGTAGGAAACAACTGTAACTGTTTACAAAGCTGATGATATTTCAAGAAAATCTAATTTAAAAAAAAATAAAACATACCAACTGACAGAAATGAATAATAACTCATAAACATTATAATTTTGAACAGAATGCTTCTTATGAAATACAAAATGTGTGCAAACCATTAATTCTGCTTTCATTACAGCCAGCTTGGGAATAAAATACAGATTGCTGTAGAAAAAATATGTTCCCTGTCGTAAAGTAAACTGAATACTCACATCATTTCACACTTACAGAACATCTTCCTGCCAAAGATGAAGATGAAGATTATCATAAAGCTCCTTACAGGCATCTTCTAACTTAGCCTAATCACATCCCTGCAAGGTGTGTTAGCTTTTATGGTGTTCCCTGCATACATGGTCAAATGAGAATAAATAGGTTTACACCTCAAGAGCTCACAGTGATGTGGTGACTTGCTAGGAAAGCCACCTGGAGTTCCAACTCCCTTAGTTCTGCCACCACAGCTGGATTGTCCAGCTCTTGGAAGAGTAGAATCTACCCAAGTGCAGGAACATAAGAAGTATTAAGCATCCCAGATTTCTAAAAATTCCATCAAGTCTTTCATTAATAAGAGCTAATGATACAGATAGTATCTAAGGAGTGAGTTAATATAGTCCTGCCTTTCTTTCCCCTTCTATGACCATTGGATTGTGAAAGTAGGACATCAGATTTATTTTTGCTTTTTCCTTTTTGATCTATTCTGTTCCCTTATTAATTTACATCCACTTATTTTTCTTTTTTTTTTTTTTTTTTTTTAATATACAGGTATTCTGGTTGCTATTTCTGAAGGTGTTTATAGACTTTAGGAACATAAATCATAGTGGCAATCATCAAGCAGTAGACGTTTAAGCCTTTTCAGTTTCTCTAGCAATCTTCAACTTTTAAATGCCCCAATAAGCCACCACACAAATCTCTATTTTATGCATGAATACACGACACTTTCTAAACTTCCACACAGTGAATAGAAGGAAATTACCTGAGCCTTTTGTAAAAGAAGATGATATACCTTAAGGGACATACCCTGTTCTTTTATGTTTAAACCACAGAAATTAGAGCATTTTCTGAAGTCTCCCTTTCACTTAAGTATACCCAAATGAAAAATAAATGGTAACATACAAAATACACAAAAGCCTCTGTGAGCCTTTACCAAAACCACATGGTTTTAGACTTGAGTAAGAAAGGAGAAGACAAAGTGAGTTGTGGAATAAAGAAGCTATACTAAGCAATGGAATATATATACTTAGGTGCAATCATAACTAAATCACAGCTAGCAGAAGGAAAGATGGTCTGCAGAAAGACCAGATCTCAGGACAACAAAAGAGACAAAATGCCTCTGCAAAATAGCTCTGAAAATTCTTGCAGATTTGAGTTACTGACTTGGACATCCTCCCAGGAATCTTTCTGGTGGAAACAATCCCCAAGAAACTTTGTAAGGGATGCTGAGTGTTAAAAGTCCAATTTAAAGCTTTTGACTGGATTTCTTCTAAGGCTCAACACTCAACATTACAGTCTTTTGCCCTACCCTGTCATTGATCCTAAGTGCAAAGATTTCTTGTAGGGTCTGGACAGGGATGAATAACTACAGATGCTTTCCATCTGTTTACACAAAACCATGCAGAAAGAACCCTCTGTTTTCTACCCAAAATACACACAGCTAAACCTGACCAAAGGCTGAAACGGAAGCAGCTGACAATAAATCAGAACTGGTTACCCACCCAAGTAATATAAATAAGTATGACTTTCTGAGCCTTTAAAAGTACTTCTAAGCTGTAACATATTTTTGCTGCAATAATAAAAAGTCAGGCTGTCTAAATAATTGAACTCCAGTAGTTCCATGGCAATTTTGCTCTAAGAGGTATCATCTCTTCCAAGTTCTTCTCCAAACCTCTGTAGCATATTGCTGACTTTTATTCTCTCTATATATTAGACTGAAAGGATAATTTCCAGAACTTTATTTTAGCTCAGAGCAGTATTCCACAGCCATTAGCTTTTTACCCATTTAGAATTATCCTCCCTTTCAATTTTCGGGAACTCTACAGTGTTCTGAATTTAACACCCAAAGAGTTAAGCCTTCCTATATTAACCACCTAGCAGCACAACCTCAAAGTAGCACACTAGAGATCAAAAGTAATGAGTAGTATACCAGGTCAGTCATTGTAGTAATTTTCCCATTTAATCATTTTACCTATTTCTTTGCCTTGAGGTTGCTTTTGAGAGATATCTTAGTTATCTCCACCTCATACCTTTGGATTATGTGTCAGATTATGTGTGAATTTGGTCAGTGTGCTGCACATACCAAAGTGAGAGCATTTTTATCTGTGGTACCATATTTGAAATGCACATTAGGAAACACCTAGTAATGGATACTCACACATCCCAGTTTGCCTGTAAAGCTCAAACCTGTGCTCTGTGGTGTTTATGCCAGTTTTACTGCAAGGTAAATATTGAAGCATCAAGTAATTATGTGACTTAAGCAAAGCCACTTGGGAATTCTGTAAAAAAATGGGACCAAACCTAAATGTACCATGGTATCCATGTGCTAGGGACAGCACAGCACTGACAGGACACTCAGGCTTTTCTGGACTGGCAGCTGCAAACAGTGGGGCAGTCCACAGCATCTCGCATGGCACCAGATACTTCTGGTTTGCATACTTGTGCATAAAGTGAAGAACATAATTCTGTCTGAGAACCTGGATTGATTCCTATACCTTCTAAACCAACTTTGTTTCATTAAATAGGCAACACTTTTTCCAAAATTAAGACAAGGTAATATTTTATAATTTACACAGTGTTTGAAACTTAAGATTTCCTCGTTTTCAATCATCTAGAAATGAAAGTGGACTGAGAAATAGCCATTTCTGGTAACAACAATGTAAGAGCCAAACTGAAATGTTCAGAGGCAAATTTTTGGCAACAGAAAATTTTCAATTATATCTCCTGGAACTTTATACATTTCAAATACTTGTCTTCCTTCTGTTGAATTTCTAATAGATATTGCACAACTTTGGCTCCATGTTGATGTTTAATAGCTGTAGATCCAGAATCCTTGTGCCAAATCCTTGTGCCAAATTAGACTCTGAAGGAAACTCATGTTTAGCTGATAAAGATGATTATGTAAACAAAAATTGCTTGTTTTTCCACTTACACTTCTGTAATTCAGACAAATCAAAGCAAATCACAGAAACCAATGGCCAAATGAAAATAAGAAGTCACATAAATTTTAATTATTTGTGAAATCCTCTTTGTTCAGCTCTGTTCAATGTAGGACCCATTGATCATACCATGGTAATGTCTGTATTTCAACCATCTGAGCCATTTAGAAACTACTTACAGCATGGGTTCCAATCAGAACCTCACTGTTCAACTGCGAGTTTCATATATTTTTGGAGCATCCCCTCTGCCTCAGATTGTTCAAGGTAGCCTTCACAAAACACAACAATTTATGTCAATAATCCCATGGATTTAACTGCCTTCTAGTCCTTGGCAGTCCTCTTTCCATCAACTACCACCGATAGGTCAATCTTTACTTTTCATGAGAGAGCATCTTTCATTTTGGAAATTATCATTTATTTATCTCAAATTCTTGCAGCAGCTACACTTGAAACATCCTAGTGTGTTTACGTAATTTATACACTCAGCTATCTTTCTTAGTAAGACAAGTGCCAATTGTGTTGTATCTTTCATATTTCTATTATAGCAATCCTATCTTAATTAACAATAAAATACATAAGCTAAATTGTGCAGTCTTCACTATTATATTCACAGCATGCTTATGGCATTGCATCATTACTGCACACGAGAAATAACTTGCAGGATTCCTGCCTACCAATATAAAACCTGCTTTCAAGATTTAAGTGTGTAATAAATTAGAAAATATTTCTCATAGAGTAAATGTCTTCTGCAGCATAGCACTAATTCATTCTTGAAGAATAATGTTTTCTCCTGTGAGGCAGGGTGTATATTATTTAGAGGAAAACAAAAGAGAGAAGGAAGCAGCACATCTTTACCCGCCGCACGTCTTTGCCGAATGTTTCGCTGTAGCTGGTGCCCAGTATTTCAAATTGGACATAGGGGTTGGCTCCATCTTCTCTGAACTCCATAACACCAGTTAGCCCAGTTATATGGCCCTAAGGAAGTAAGTTTGAGAAATTTCAGAACAGAAATAATTTGCCTTCATAAACACTTCTCTTCATAAAATATGTGCCAAATATGCTTAAATCATGTTTATAGTGAACTTAAATGTGGCCATTGCATGTTCTTCAGTAGCTCAAGCCCAGCACTAGACAAAAGACTTCCATTTTTTCACTTTTTTTTCAGAAAATTGCTTTAGCACTAACACACCCAGTGTTCATGGCCATCAGGTCATTACTGTCCACAGGAACAGATCCCAAAGAAAAAGAGAAGGGCCTTAGTGGACTTTGAGACAACAGCCCTCCCAGGGTAACAAGGCAGTGGGCTCAGTTCTCAGTTTGAGTACCAAGGCATGAACTCCCAGCCCAAAACAAAGGGGATGCCTGTTGTGCTCCCAAGAGAGGCATCAAAGAAAAAACAAAATTGCAACTCTGTGAAAGTATAAGGGAGTTTGATTCTGGGTTTGTAGCAAAGAAGCTTGAAGGGACACCAAAGTTTGAATTAATTTAGCAACAAAGGATGGCATTATTAGGACTTGTCAGAATGATCAAATTGCATCATTTTACTAGGGGAAAACTATTTCATTAATAAATATTTGGTAACATAGGGCTTCTGAACAATTGCAAAAGTTAGTATAGTAAAAAAATAGGGTTTTTTCTACTATTACTTGTGATCAAATAACTTTTATACAAGAAGTTGCCATCTGTCTGCAAAGCCACAAGTCTGTCTATATTTGAGTATTTCAGCATGGTGCAAGGTAGTGTAACTGTTAATGACAGCCAAATCAGATCCTTTTTGCTCTGCTCTGGGCTGCAGTACACAAGCAGATCCTTACCAATGCTCAGTTAACTTACAAAGCTATCTGAGCTGTCGAAAATGGAGCATAAGTCTTAAACCTCATCACTGCTTTACCCTCCTGCCCTCTAAGCTCCTTAAGTTATCCTCTTGCAAAAGTGCATTAATCAATTCCCATGACTACTCCAGATCCTACTTCCTCCACAGAAGGCAGCCACAAAAACAACAGAAATAGAACACACTGGACCTACACTGCACTGTGTGTAATTGTTTATCATAAATCAGTGGCTTGTTTAATAGCTGCAGATTGTCCTTGGTCGTTGTAGATCACTTGTTTGTAATACATCAAAGAAAAGTTGAATATAAGTTAAAACCTTCTTCAAATGCCCAAGCACACATGAAGCAACCCTTCCAATTGTTCACAAAATGGTGGTTTGTGTTTTCTCACCTTCTTAATAGTCTCTAGCATGGATCTTCCTCCATTCCAAGGTTTGGTGGATTTCCTCATGCAGTTCAGACTTGCCATGCTGTGCCATTTTCTGTCCTCCAGTTTTCTGTGGAAAGCATTGGCCAGCATGAGCACACTGTCATACAGGTACAGGTTGGAAACCTGCAAACAATAATAAGAATGAGCCTCTTTTTTTTATGTGAGCACCTTCCAAAGAAGCTATAAAAACCAGAAGAAAAAACAAAAGAAGGCTTAAGTAAGAACTAAAAGCTGGGTATGTTTGACATGCTCAACAGTCAAAGCATTTGACACAAATGCCTGTGCTCCTGGGTCCCTCTGTCCAAGGGATTCTGGCACACAGGCACTGCCTGAGCATTACTGCAATGCAGTGCTGTAAAGAGAGATCACACTCCACATATAAACTCAAACTACAGAGGGAGTACAGCTATCTATCAATGAAAGACAAGGATTGCTACTTTGTCAGCCCTTTCAGCAAGGAGGGAAAGACAGAATGGAATTAAGTTCTTAGGGTTTTATTCATTTGATCAGCTGGTAATTTCTGGCACAGCAAAATCCAGTACACATGCAAGTCTTTAGAACAAAAGGAGGAGAAATTACAGTATTATTTTCGTCTTAGCATCTCTTTTCACCAAATATACATGAGACTGGTTTAGTGCTACTTTCTCTGGAGCTACAGAATTTAGCCTTCTTAGTCTTCAATTTACATGAGAGATACAGAAATAAACAATTTATGACAAAGACTCCAGTAAGAACAGAACACCACATTAGTAATGCTGAGCTATGTATTTAATTTTTCAAACCAAGACATGTTTAGCAATACAAGATTAGATCTTTGACAGGAAGTGGTATCCACCTCAAGTGGTAAAACTTTAGTAGAGGAAGTTGGCTGACACAAGTCATTTAAAAAAAAGTAATTAGATACACTTTACCTGTTCCCAGGGTTCACATGCACTCTGCTTCAAACATATGCACAAGGGGTTAGATTCAGTCTTTGCTAAACTCAAATCTTCACTTTACATCATTGGCCAGATACAGCTTTTTCTGTTAATACAGCAGCAATAACAACACTAACACTAATAATATTTCTTCTAGCTGTAGGCTTTAATCATGATCATCCCTAACTTTGCCATTTATCTCCTGGATTTTTCTAGTCCACCTTAGAAAGTAATGCCTAGACACCAGGTTGCAGGTAGAAGTTCATTCAGCTGCATACTTCCTATAAATGTGACTCTCTAGCTGTCCCAATAAAAGTGTCACTCTGAGAAAGTTTTAACATATATTGCTGTTGAATCACTGGCTGCAAGTAAACTTCTGATGTCTGTAAGATGCTAATCTTCAGAAACAAAATGTTTCATGTTCCACAATCTGGAGTTTGACATAAATTGAAAACTTAGGCACTTTGAAATATCTTCTAGTAGAAATAAATCTGAGTGAAAGATATATAAGCAAAAATTAATTTTGAAATAATCAAAATACAAAGAAAAAAGGATATTGCAAATACACACTTAAATAAGTGACTAAGTATAAAAAGGGATCTCAACATGAAAACAATGCAAACCTATGAGATACCATCAGGGAGAATCTCTCTCATCTGGAATTGCCATCTTTCTTCCCTTCTTTTCTTTCCAGCCTTGCTGAACAAGCACTCCATATTGCCATTATTTGCTATTTTATCTAGTTAAATATTTTCTTTTAGAATATTTTCCAAAGTAGTTATATGCCATACTTCCTCTGGTTTTAAGAAAAATAATTAAAGAGTTAACAGGAGTCCCATCAACCAAAATTCTTCTGCTCAATTGCATTTGTTTCCCTATTCTGTAGATATTTCAAATAAAGCAACCAAGCAGATCCTTATTATTCAAGAGGGCACTTTTCTTCTGGGCTAAACAACTCTTCACAGAGAAAAAAAATCCAAAGCTCAGATCCCAAAAGATATACCACCCCAAACCACACACTACAAAATCCACTTTCTTAGAACTAGGTTTTAAGTATATAAGGAAAAATGCCATTTCTTATAAGCCTTCATGATCCTCTTTGCTCCCAACTGAATTTGTTTTTACACACTCACTTTTAACTGACAACTAATTGTCTGTTGCCTTGGAACTCCCACAGATCAGAAATGCCTTGTGTTTTCTCCCTTTGGCACTGTTCTTTCTCAGCTCTGGAAAACTGCAGCCTCATTCCCAAAAACAGTGCTTGGTTTGCTAGCAGAGAGCTCTAAGGCAAAATATAAGATGCACTTGGGTACACTGTTTTTTTGCTTTTCATGTGCTTGGAGAAGACACCACAGTTCTGCAGATGTGACTGACAAGAGTTGGGAGGATTTCAGCCTGCACAGCCTTGCACCCAACTCAAATTACCTCCTGCTGCAGAGCAAAACAAAACAATCCTGTGTTTACCAACCTAATCCTCACCATTCAGCTCGACTTTCAGTGGACTTTGTATCACTACTGTTCTATTAATTACTTGTGAAAGAATGCTATAAACTGAGAGATAGCAAGATGGGGTCTGCACAAGAGGAGTCTCCACCACATTTGTCCTTATTCTACATCTGCAGATCTGTACCAAGGCAGAAGAAAATGTTGCAGAGAATATACCAGTTTATTTTTTTGCCATGGAAAGAATATTCTGCATGTTCTGTTGTATTATCCACTGGTACTTTGCCACTCTGGTTCTCTTCTGCTGAAAGCCTCATCCCAAACATGAGTAAATGGTGCTTTTTAATCAGCAAAATTCCTTCCATCATATAATCATACTCTATTTACTCCAGTAAAAATGACATGCATGCATAACTACATTTTACTCATTACTCACTGAAGAATCAATATCTATGGAAGAGCAAGTTGCATTTTACTCACACAATCAACACTTCTATTTTAGAACAGAAAATATGCAAGCTAGGAAAAAAAAACAGCATAAAAACTTCCACAACTAAGGCTGGATTTTTAATAGTAAGACAAAAAAATAAGACACAAATATTCTGGCCTGATTTCACAGTAAATTCAGGGCTATAATAATATTCTTTATAACATTCCAAGACACCAAAATCTCTCCATATGTTATAATTATATTTGCAACATGAGTTTGCTGTAACCTCCAGAATAGTGATACTGTGAAAAGAAAAAGGATTCAGCAGACATGGCCTGTATGCCTTTTTTACTGCATCTGCACACATATTTTAATTTTCAGTGAACTGTCAAGTTCCCTATGAGTATGGACATGACCACTGAAAGGGAATTTTTGAGATACCCAAGGGTTCAGCTGTACTCTGATTCTACAGTACAGGGTTCAGCTGTACTCTGATTCTACCAGTACTATAAGAGGCATGAGAAAATAGTTAATTTTAAAAATTCATGTTCAGATAGCATTCAGAATTGGCAGCAAAGCAAAAGAGAAGTGAAACAAGGTAACATACTTGGCTAATTTGGGTCTTCGAAGCTCTGGAGCATTTTTTGAATTCCCCTATTTGGATATTCATAGGAGAACAGAGGAAGAAAGGACATATCTTTCTGAAGTGATTTCCCTTAACAGAATAAAAATTCCTAGACTAGAACAAAGTACTGGATTTTGGTCATGTTTGGAGGAAGTGACAGTAATTTTTAGTTCTTCTTTCTCTCCATTGCTGACAGTGTAAGAGCTGGAGGTACTAAAATGGTTCTTGATCTATCTGGTATAAGAATGATAGTGACTGCTTCACCAATATGTTAAAGAATACACCTTGTACATGAGTAATTTTAGGCATGTTCTGGTTTATCTTCTGGAAATTATTCCAGACTTTATGAAGCTCTTTTTTGCACTGAAGAAATAAATCCACCATATACTAGTAGAGCACAGCAGAAATTTTCAAGAATGGAAATCTATCATAGTATTAAATGTCATTTCATAGAAGTTTCTATGTGAATCTAATGAGATTTTCCAGAATGATTTTAAAGTTACGTATGAAGAAAGCTCCTTCAGAGGGACTAAACACAGATAAGTGCTCTTCTGAGAAGGCCAGCAAGCCACAAAGACTGACCCCAACTCCCGAGTGGCCAGCAGAGCCAGGAGTTCATCCAGAGAATGCTGAAGAGATCAGCTGGAAGGCAAGCTGACACTGAGATGCCACTACTTCAAAAACTCATTCCCAAGCTGGGCATCTGTACCCTGCTGCTGCCAAATCTGCTCTGTGAGTGGCCACAGCAGTCAGCTCCAAGGATGAAGCAGATGGAAGAGGAGTTCAGAGCAAGTGCAGCCTGCCAGAAATGCCTGCTGCCTGAGGAGAGAGATCATGGTGACTGCTATGCACACTCCAGCATGCCCTAAACCTGTGTGTCAGCTTCCACAGTTCAAGTGCTGCCCGGTGCAGTTGCACATCTGTCTCTCTACTGACAGAGTGCATCTTACCAGGAGCAGCAAAGACCTTGGACACTGCCAGGGATGGGGCATTCACAACTTGACTGGAGCACTTGCCAGTGAGGAATGAAGCAAATAAATCATTGAGTACCTCAGCCTCCTCCTTATCCTGAGTAACCAAGTCTATTTCCATTCAGAGAGGGTTCATATTTTTTGCTAGTTTTCCTTTTATCATCCTTTTATCACCAACTGTATGTATAGAAGATTTTGGGTTTTCCCTTGACATTCATGGTCAGACTAAATTCTATCCGAGCTCAGTTTTCCAAACCTGGTCCCTGACTGCTTAGACAATTTCTCTGTATTTCTTACCAGCTTCCTGTCCCAGATTCCAGTCTCTGTAGACTGCCTTTTAGTGTTTTGAGTTTATCTAGGAACTATTTGTTCATCCATGCAGGCCTGCTGGCATTTCTGACTGACTTCTCTTCCTTCTGGATGCTCCTCAGACCATTCCAGGCTGTAGCACTGCAGCCCACATGGATCAACAGCAGCACATCATGGTCAGTGGGCTGTAGGAGGCTTGGTAGTCCTCTGTCACACCCCTGGTACAATGTCATATCAGAGACCACGTGCCTCTGTGTCTCTGAGAAGAAAGTCACCTGCTGCTCTCACCTGCTGCCTTCTTAGCTGAGCTGGTTGCTACACGAGGAGCAGATGAGGCTGCCTTACTCAGCCCCAGCCTCTCCCCCGATGTGAAGGGTCTTTTCAGCCTGCAAGTGGTGAAGTGGCTCTGCAAAGGCATGTCAGGCATT